TCACCTTAACTCCTGCACTAGCCATCTCTCCAGCTGCTCTCCAATAGCTGCCTCACAGGCCATAGGAGGCCAATTAGAACATCACCCTCGCCACGGGGCCATGAAAAATGAATGAGACAATTTAAGTAGAAACAGAGCAAACTGTGGGCATGAATAAACTTTAGCTATAGGATATTAACACCTTGACTTCCTGGGAGTAAATCCTGCCAAGTGTCATTCTCAAATTGCCTTGGAAGAAATTCTAGAATTTTCAGTTACACACTCATTGCACTTCTTGACAGCGAACACTACTGTTTTCTGCTGCTGGCTTCTCCCACATTCCCACACCCTAACTAGCCCCAAGCTAGGAGAACCAGGAAGCTCTGTTTCTCTCCCGCCCCCAAGAGCCTACCACAGTATACACCAGGGGTTCCCGTCATCTCTGCTCCATTTACTGCCCATCAGCCCACCAGTCTAAGCAAAACCTAAGTCCAATTTGGCTTTCTGGGTTTTGGGATCGATTTTCAGATTTTTGGTGCTATCAGAGTCAACGCCAAGATAAAATGACAGCAAGACTCACTGGTACAACAGGGACTGACTGCAAGGAACACAGTGGCGGTCCCCGACTCTGTGCCAAACTCTGTCATCAAAAAAATCTGTCAGGACTGGAGAAGACAGTACAGCTGATAAAACTGCTTGCACATGCTTGCACAGTTCAGTCCCTGGCACCCTTTATGGCCCAAGCACCACCAGGTGTGATCTGTGATCCCTGAATACTTCCAGGTGTGGCCCCAAAAACCAAAAATAAACAAAGAATGCATGTCTTGTTATCACACATAACCCTCACAACCAGACGTGGGAAGGACTGTCACACCCAAGCCACCGTGAAGAAAAACTGAAGTTAACCGAGGGGGGAACAAGGGTACCATCCCAGCTGCCTCCGCCTTTCACATTTCCTACACCAAAGCCCAGACTCAGCTCTGATCTGCACAACTCAACATCCTCATGGTCCTCGATTCAAGACCTCCAGTTCCCATCTCCCACCCCCTACTCCTCCCAACTCACAGTCCACTGGTCACCTCCCGTTTGTTGATTACACGCACCTCAAATGTAAAAAGTCGAAAGAGAACTGGGAGCTCTCCTCGCCACCTGTCCTGCTCCCACCTGGCTGCTCGCTCCTACTCCCTCGCTCCATCAGCCTCACACCTCTCATTTCATCCATACAAAACAGGCTCAGAAACCAGCAAGCCACTCTACTCTTCATGACTACACTAGGTACACCTCACTCCTGCTTGTGTGGAGCCAACAGCAGCTACCATGACCAAGCTCCATCAGGAAAAACTTGGCGGCAGCTGAAGCCCAGAGCTCCGCCAGCACCCAGGAGGCGGCTCCAAAGGTCACCGAATGAACCATGCAGACAGCTCTCCCCAACAAGCTACTTCTCATGGTATCCAGGGACTTTTACTTAAACTGTAGCACTGTCCTCCCGTTGTTCATCGAGTTGCTCAAGAGGGCCCAGTAACGTCTCCATTGTGAGACTTGTTGTTACTGTGTTTGGCATATTGAATATGTCATGGGTAGCTTGCCAGGCTTTGCCGTGCGGGCGAGATACTCTCAGTAGCTTGCCAGGCTCCCCGAGAGGGGCAGAGGAATGGAACCGGGGCTGGCCGGGCCAGCTGCCATGTGCAAAGCAAACGCCCTACTGCTGTGCTATCGCTCAGCCCTTTACTTAAAAAAATCTGTTCTTTTAATGTCTTGGGCTGGGGATACACTCTCACACTCTCAGAGGCACTTGGGGGACCACCTGGTGCCAGAGAATGAAACCTGGGCTTGTGGACACAGGGCACAGGCACCATCCATCTGCTAACTTACAACTCTGGTCCCCGTTATCTATTCTTTGCTTCCTTGTTTAAAATTTCCCAACGTTCTTCTCACTGCAATGAGACTGAAACCCCAAATCCCGACAGTGGCAGATGATTTCCCAGGCCCTGCAGGCCCCTCTGACCTAGTCACCTGGTCTGCCACACCCCATATCCTGCTACCTTCAGTTTCTCCAACACCACCCGAGGGCGACTGCCAGAGTATCTATCAGTCTAAATTCCTCAGGCATCTTATCAGTCATCATATCTGTCTCAAAAAGGATTCATGTCTCCCAGAATGCTCTGCCTCCCTTGTTACACCCCAAGCCCTGTCCTCATAGTCACTGTTCCCACGCTGCCCGACCGCGCAAAAAAAAAAAAAAAAAAAACTGCTCTTAACCCTAAGAGCAAAGATGCTATTTGCCTGCCTTACTGTCATTTCTCCAGCTCCTAACACATATGTATTATGGTCTTGTGAAATAATAAGAAACATGTCTAGGGCCAGAGATATTACAGTGGGTAAGGCACTACCCTTGCATGCAGCCAATCTAGGTTTGATCCCTGGCACCCCATATGGTCCTCTGATCCCCACCAGGAGTGATTCCTGAGCACAGAGCCAGAAGTCCTAAACACAGCTGGGTATGGCTTAAAAAACCATATATACACACACACACACAAACACACAAACAATACCTGATAAATATGGTATAGTAAAAGGAGAGCATTTTCTAAGCAATTGGAGTTAAATTCTTAACAGAGACTTTTCAGGGCCAGAGCAATAGTATTTGTCTTGCACACGGATGACCCAGGCAATCCCCAGCACCCCATATAATCCCCCCAAGTACCACCAGGCATGGGTCCAAAACAAAAGAAAAAAAGAAATCAGTAACTTTCATCCCCCATGGAGGTCGTAGGGTTGTGACTGGCATCTAAAACAGAGGCAGTGAGGTGCTAATGCCAGGATTTTATATCAAAAGTAAGAGGAATTGTTGGGACATCCCACTGGTGTTTAGGAAGTAGGGAAATTCATATGGGGGAGGAAATTCATTCATTTCATGTCAGCAGAACTGTGAATAAAAACAAACGATGGGGTTCAAAAACGAAAGAATGGAAGGACTAGGAAACAGATACCTTCTGTTGATGCAGGGGGCTGTTTCTTTAATGTAAACTTAACAGTCCATTCCATGAGGCCAGCAGGTAAAGTGCTCACCTTATAGGCAGCTGACCCCAGTTAGATCCTGGCACTGCATATGGTCCCCAACCCCCCCACCCAGTACCTCCAGGAGTGAACCCTGAGCACTGAGTCAAGGCATAAGCGGCTGATCCTGGTTCTAACCTAGCATAATGTCCATACGGTCACCCCCTCCCCAGTACCACCAAGATTGAGCCCTGAGAACCGCTGGCTGTTGCCCCAAAACCGAAACAGACTATTTAATATGAGATACGAGATCATGTTGGCATCCCCACCTTAGAGCACAGAGACACCCCCCAACCCATGAGTCCCAGCACTTCCACCTCCATCCCCACAGGCCCTGGCAATGCCTCAGGCAGTCCTGGGAAGGCAAAAGTCCAATTTCCTGCCATGAATGCCCAGGCTCTGGTTCTTTCCAAAGTGTTGGGAGGGGTGGCAAAAACAAGCCATTAAAGGCTGCCAAAATCTCAACCATACCGATGATTCTTTGACCAGGGCACTAGAGCCCCAGGAATAGCTCTCAGGCGCTAAATTTGCCTTGCTCTGCCCGCCCCCAACTCAAAAAAAAAAAAAAAACCCTCAAGGGAATTTCAAAAGCTCAGAAGCAGGCAGATGTTCCCAGGAATGGCAATTACCCCACCATGAAAAGTGTCACATCGAATGAGAAAGTATGGTGAAGCAACAAAAGATTTGCAGTTTTTCTGAACTTCAGAACTGATGGGAAATAGTCTCCTGGTGACCTCAACAGCCCTCCCACGGTAGCTAAGACGGCATCCCCAAGGCTGGCTGAGGATGAATCATAATATCTTAAGTCAGAGTCCCCAATTTCCCCCAATCGCAGGGAAGGTCCGCTTGAATCCTGGCCAAAAGCGGTATCAGAACTCAAAAACCAAGCGGACTATTGGCGGGTGTGATCAGCAAGTTACAGGAACCCACAGCTTAACCCATATATCTCTGCGGGCTGCTCTGGTGGCAATCGGGCTGGGTGCGTTAGGACAGTCAACTGAGCCCGAATCTGAATGCCCACCCCTGAACTTGGCTCATTTCTGGAAACACCCCAAGCTGCAGAGATGGGGAGGAGAGAGCTGCAATCCGGAAGGCATTATCCATCTTTGGTATTTTGTTGTTGCTGCTTCTGGGTAGGACTAATACGCACTGAAGAGCTAAAAACCTATTGATCCTGCACACGCCGCTGAGTAGCCCGTGGGAGCGCCGTGTCGCAAGCTCACACACCCGTCTGAAGATAGCGTGGCTTTATATATACCCGGTAGGGGAGAAGCACCCAACAAACAGGCTCTGGCAAGTTCTGCTGCAGGGAGGGACGGGAAGACCGGGGCAGCCGCGTTCGTGTCTGCAAGGGCTGGGTCGGGAAACTCAGGACGCGTGGCTCGGGCTTCCCGGCCCCCACATCCGATACCCTCCAGGCTTCCAGACATTCTCGAAACGCCAGAGCCCCTGGAACTGCTGCCTTGCAAGACGCCAAACCGAGAACAACCTGCCCTGGGCCCTAAGAACGATTTATGAGCCGGGCGCGTTTGGAAAGGAGATGTCGCCCCAGAGCCCCGATCCTTCCCAGGGCTCACACCGAGTGGGAAGGGCCGAGCGGAACGCAGGAGCTCGGCACACAAGCTAGTATCCCGGGGCAGCGGGGACAGGATCTAGGATCCTCCTCCCGCCTCACTGGCCTGCCCTTAACCAAGTCCCTCCAGCCAGAAGGGAGGATCTCGGGGTTACCTCTCGGGCTTCCCCACGTCCCTTCCCTCCCTCTCGCTCCCCAGACGGCTGAGCGCCACATTCGGGCCCGAGGCATCTCCCCCACTGCCCCGGGTCAGCCCCGTGCCATCCGTCACCACCTGCTCCCCTTCCGCTCGCAGAGCTGGGGCGCACACCCAGGGCGCACAGCGCAGCCCGTCCGGCTGGACCCCTCGCCCGACCCACCGCCTCCAGCTGGGCACCGCTCCTGCGCTCACCTGGCCCGCACAGCACTGCGCTGACATCGCGGCGGCGAGCCCGGCGGCTGCGCTCGGCGCTCCTCCGCTCCTCTTGGGCCCTGCTGGAGGCGTCCGGTCTCTAGCGCGGCTCCTGCACCAGCGCACGCCTCCAGGAAAGCAGCCCCAGCTGAGCGCCAGGCTGTACCGCGGCCTGGGTAAAAACAACTGCCGCCAAGCCCCGCCCCGCCGCCCCGCCCCGCCCCCGCCAGCCTCAGGCTCCGCCCTGCCTCCAGGCCCCGCCCCGCCGCCAGACCCCCGCTCCAGCCACCTTCAAGCTTCGCCCCGCCGCCAGGCCCCGCCTCAGGCTCCGCCCCACCGCCAGGACCCGCCCCTCCCCGCCCTGGGCTCCGCCCCCTGGAGCTGTGTTGCTGGCTCGCCCCGGAGCTCGCACTTCCGCTGGCGTCGAGCGGCTCCTCTGCTGCCTGCACGATCCGCAGCTGCGCGGGTCTGCGAACTTCGCCCACCGGCCCGCCTGCCTTCCTCCCGCGGGATCCCGATCCGAGGAGGCCGCTGCGCCCCTCCGAATCCTAGCCACGGCCCCCTGCGGCCTTTAGTGAGCGACTCCCTCGTGTGCTTCATTTGCACCCGCGCCACTGGCACCGCCCGGGACTGCTCTGAGCCCTGCCTGGCGCCAGTGGGCAAGTGCACGGGATCCTGACCGCGAAACCCCTCTACCTCCTCCATCTGCCTAAGAAAATATATCACCTTTTTGAGGTGTTCTAGTTTTTTGTTGGTTGGTTGGTTTCGGTTCGTTTGGGGCATGGAGGGAGCACAACCGGCAGTGCTCAGGAGTAGTTTCTGAAGGTGCTCAAAAATTCAGGTGGTGGGTGCGAGGGATCAAACAATCAAAGCATGTATGCAAAGCACGTGCTCGGCTCATTAAACTCTCTAGTTCCCAAACGACTGGGCTTTTCGGAAATTCCCTGCTTCTGCCGTGCCGTTTCTGCTCTGCACTTTGGAGTATCGGGTGAGGCTTTTCCACCTGCCCCGCCTACCTGAGACTGGATCCAGGCTCTGGAACCCCATTTGCACCCCTGCTTCCTCTCACCAACCTCACTAAAAAGAGGGTTTTCTTGGGGGTCAGAAGCAGCTCACCATGCCTGAGGCGTGCATTGCGGACTGGGGAAGCTGGGAGTCATCCCCTAAGCACCTCTGGAATGTGTCTCGAACCATTCCCATTTTTAAAAAAAGAGGAGGGGTCCCAATAATTGTTCCACATAGGAAGCAAAGAGGGTGATTCTCTTTTCTCTCTCTACCCAACTTTGTCCTCTTCAATACCCAAGAAGGATAAAGAAATTTGCATTGAGCTCTTTCATTCTTTAAAATCAACATTACTGGGGCCAGAGAGATAGCTCAAGGGGCTGAGAGAAATGCTTTGTAATAATGCAAACAAAACCTTGCACAAACTATCAGACCAGAGAATTAATCTGCTTGCTGACACCCAAGCAAAAGTGAAGGGTCTCCTACTCGGATTTAGTAAACTTTGTTAGTAGATTGGGTTTTTGCTTGAGGTTTTGGGGTGGTTTTTGTAGGGGTCATACACAGTGGTGCTCAGGGGCTTATTCCTGGCTGTGTTCTCAAAAATGACCCCTGGAGATGCTCAGGGGACCACATTGCTGACTGACAATTGAACTGGGGCCTTACAGATGTGAGGGAAGTGCCTTAACCTCTGTCCTATTTCTGCAGCCCCAGCAAGCTTCTTTGTTGAGTGTTGGGCTCATTTTGACTTCAGTTCTCACCTGAGGAGAGTTGTGAGTTGAGCATCCTCCTGGCTGGAAGAGACAAGCAGCACAAGTTTAATTATTGTATCACATGGTGCTTGGAGCATTGCAGGGGACAGCCCTGGAGCCTCAGCCAACACTACCAGGGGAACCCAAGCAGCATTGCATCTTTGGGCCCTTGCATTGAACCACCAGCCACATTGGCTGAGAATTGCAGTAGGTCTCCTGGGTCACCTCCCCCAATAAAATAAAAAGACAAAATGGGATCGCCAACCCAGTCCTGTCACATTTGTTCTAACAGGTATCAAAGGAAATGTGGCCAGGTTTGGTAGTGAGGAGGTGGGGAAGGCAAGGGATGGGGGGCTGATATTCTTGTAGCATCTTTTGTAGTTTTGTTGGTCAACCAGTTGTCCACAGACATTACATAAAACAGCAGCACCTAATTTTCTTGCCAGTACTCTGTAGATGGTTGTTTTAAGAAAGCCAATTGCACATGGTGTGCCTAACATGGTATTTTGCAGTTCATCTCCTTTGATGTGAAATGTTCAGGAACAAGCAGGAATGGGCTTGTCTTAATACAACTGTAGCTCTTGGCAGACCATGTGAAATATTTCCCCTACAAAATTTTCTTAAATTAACTGAATCAGCCCCTTTCATAAATATAATTATATATGTATATATGACACATTATAAATAACCAGTTTGTAATTTGCTTTTTTTCCCTCTTGAACTTGAAGATTGGGTGGGTGGGGAGGGCTGGTCAGGAGGGGGTTCCTTTTTCAGGATGGGGAGGCCACTGTTGAGTTTAAACACACACACCACATTGAAAATAAGTGAAATACGCATTAAAGAAAAAAGTATAATCACACACCCATGGGGTTATTTTTTTTCTCGTGAATACATTTAGAACACTTCATTACAAATTTACTTGTCGTTCAAGAATGACTTAAAAGCAAATAAAATTGCTCTGATTTCCTAAAAGGTCTCATTGCTCTTCTTTGCTGTTTTTGTTTCAGTGACCTAAGGCAGGGGGCACACTCTTTCATGGAGCTCTGGTGGGGTCCCACATGTTATTTCGTTGCTCACCTCTGACTTCAGTGCTTGGGAGATCACATGCTTAGGCTGTAGTCTGCGTGTCAGACAGCTGTAGTAGGATTCTCGCTCATGCACCTGGGCAGCACTGGGATTCAAGGCAAGTGCTTTTGCCCCAACCTATCATCCCCCAGGCTCCTGAAAAGAATTTTCTAATTTTCACTTACAAAGTCTCTAGGGACCTCCATCTTGTAGCAGACAATAAATTTCAGTTACTAATGAATAGTATTCATTTAGAAACAAATAGCTATAAATTTGGCGCCAGGGTTGCTACTTTTGTTTGGGGGCCACAGTCAAAGGTGCTCAGGGCTTACACCTGGCATTCTTAGCAGGACTCTGGGGACCATATGTGTTGCCAGGGACCAAACCCGAGTCACCCTTATTCAAGGCAAGTGCTGCACCCACTGTTCTATCACTCCAGTCCTAAATAGCTATACAATTGAGTCTCCAGGAGAAAATTAATCACAGCCTCAGACTGTAGGGCCTGAATCCCACTCCTATTAGTAATGGCATCTTTATTTCTTCTAAATTAGTGTTTGCACAGGTTTATTTTCACGGTTCACAGTCCTCCTGTTATTCATTGATTTGCTCGAGCGGGCCCAGTAACATCTCCATCATGAGACTTGTTGTTACTGTGTTTGGCATATCGAATACATCATGGGTGGCTTGCCAGGCTCTGCTGTGCGGGCGAGATACTCTTGGTAGCTTGCCGGGCTCTCCAAGAGGGGCAGAGGAATCGAACTTGGATCGGCCATGTTGGCTGCGTGCAAGGCAAACGCCCTACCGCTGTGCTATCGCTTCAGCCCAAGTTTATTTTATATATATCAAAATCAGAACTGGAGCAATAATACAGCTGGTAGGGCCTCTTTCCTGGCACTTGGCAAACCCAAGTTCAATCCCTGGTACCACATATGAACCTCACCCACCATGCCCCGCCAGGACTGATTTTTGAATCTTTGGGCACAGAACCAGGAGTAAGCCTTGAGTAAGCCAGGTGTGCCCCCCCACCCCCGCCACCAAAAAAAAAAAAAATTAAAATCAAATCAAATGGCCAAGGGCAATAGAACTAAAAAGTTGGTTCATAGAACTGAGCTTTCAAGGGGGAGTAGATGTGGGGTGGGAGGCATCTTTGGGATATTGATGGAGAGAAGCAGGCACTCTGGTGGTGTTGGAACGATGTGTGCATGAAGCTACTTTTAGCAGTATTCCTGAGATTGCTGGGTGTGGCACAAAATCAAAAATGCACACAGAACAGCACCTACTAAATATTGTTTGGTGTTTGTATGTTTTTCTATAGACTTAATTTTAATTTTTCTCCATTTGTCCAGCTGATTCATCAAACCTTTTCCTCCAGATAATCAACTACATCAAATCATCTATTAATTTTTTAGATTAGATTAGATTGTTAATTTAATAATCACCCCTCCCCAGCTCTCCAGACGCCGTCCACTCTGGGTCCTTCTGCTGCAACCAAGCAATCCTGACCTGCCTCTTATCCACCTCCTCTGTTGGCTTTCTGGAATCTGTATTCTCTTTACTGAACTCATATCTGGCCCACAGCTGATGGAAGCCATTAACGCTGAGATATCAGGACTCAAAGTAAAGAAAATATTGTGCAAATGGTCCTAGCTACAAGATGGGGAACTTTACCATCAATCAATCTTTCCGCAGGCTGGTGGAGTTACACTTTATCTAGACAGAGAGGGGAGATAGGTGGGACTCAAGAGGGAAGGAAAGAGAAGCCTTAGGGGCTTTAGGAATTAAGGGGCTACAAAAACTTTGCAAGATTTTGAGGCACAATGAGTTTCTTAATTTGGGATGATCAACTTGTTATTACTTTGCTGAAAAACAACCTTAGAAGCATTTCATTCTTCTACAAGAAATAAAAATTAGTGCCGGATGAATAGTACAGTAGGTAGAGGATTTGTCTTGGCTGACCTGGGTTCAATCCCCAACATCCTGAGTGTTTCCTGAGTACAGAGCCAGGAGTAAGCTCTGAGTATTGCTGGTGTGTCACCCACCCACCCGTCCCCAAGAAGGAAAGAAAAATTAGGGGCCGGAGCAAGAATACAGCAGGCAGGGTGCTTAGCCTACCAAGGTTCAATCTCTAGCTCTCCATAACTCCACCAAGAGTGATCTCTGAACACGGAGCCAGGAATAAACCCTGAGCACTACTGGATGTACCCCCCCACTCCCGTGCAAGCGTGCACACACACACACACACACACACACACACACACACACGAAATAAAAATTAAAATCTGACTGGAGAAAGTCAGGGGAGGGTGTTGAAACCTATTAGCAGGTTCCATCAGCTTGGCCTAGCCTGAGAGTGTGATGTTAA